TGCCCAGCCCCCCGCTGGGCCCGCATTGCACCCCACACGTCCCAGTGGCTGCAATTCCCAGCCCTCCCCCCGTCACAGGCCCGGCCCGGCCGACTCTTGTGCTGAATTTCCAGCCACCGGCTCTTCCCCTGCTGGGCAAGAGCCCAGAGGCTGCAATTCCCAGCCCTCCCCCCGTCACAGGCCCGGCCCGGCCGACTCTTGTGCTGAATTTCCAGCCACCGGCTCTTCCCCTGCTGGGCAGAAGAGCCCAGCTTAGATACTTGGGGCCCAGGCTGGTACTTGCTGACTGATCAAATTCCCTGCCCAATGCTCCCGCTAATTTTTTCCATCCATGTGTGGAATACTGTTGAGTGCGCACCAAGGCTCGAGATGTGCACCACCCGTGGAAACAAACCCCAGCTGTGTGCACACGCCCCTCAGCTGGGGGCAGCGGGACCTCAGAAGAGCCCAGCTTAGATACTTGGGGCCCAGGCTGGTACTTGCTGACTGATCAAATTCCCTGCCCAATGCTCCCGCTAATTTTTTCCATCCATGTGTGGAATACTGTTGAGTGCGCACCAAGGCTCGAGATGTGCACCACCCGTGGAAACAAACCCCAGCTGTGTGCACACGCCCCTCAGCTGGGGGCAGCGGGACCTCCCGCAGGGCCAAGCGGCAGCGGTCCAGGAGGCCGGCACGCAGCCACGGTGCCAGGGCTCCCGCAGGCCTCCCCGAGCACAGGAGGGGGCCGGGGGCCATGTGCCTGGGGCCCTCGTCCGCACTGACAGCCCCCCTTGGGCCCTAGGCGGCCATGATGGCGGAGGAGCTGAAGAAGGAGCAGGACACCAGCGCGCACCTGGAGCGCATGAAGAAGAACATGGAGCAGACCATCAAGGACCTGCAGATGCGCCTGGACGAGGCCGAGCAGATCGCACTCAAGGGGGGCAAGAAGCAGATCCAGAAGCTGGAGGCCAGGGTGAGTGGGGGCAGGGCCGGTTCCAGCCCCTGGGTGGCTTCCCCTCCCCTCCCCCAGTGCTGGGCCAGGGGCTGGCAGGAGCCCAGAGCCCAGAGCCCCAGGTGCATCCCCAGCCCCTCCTGGGCCAGGCCGCCAGAGCCTGAGCCCGAGCGCCCCCGCCTCTGCCCACAGGTGCGCGAGCTGGAGGGGGAGCTGGACGTGGAGCAGAAGAAGATGGCTGAGCTCCAGAAAGGCATCCGCAAGTACGAGAGGAGGGTCAAGGAGCTGACCTACCAGGTACAGCAGTGCCAGGGCCCCAGCCTGACCCCCGCCGGCCATGGGGAGCCCCCCAAGCACAGTGCACATTTTCTGTGGGAAAGCCCCCGGCCTCGCCCCACTCAGCCCAGCGCCACACAGGGCCCCCGGCCTCTCGACTCGCTGCTGGGGGGTGGCCCCGGAGCTGGAAGCAGGGCAGAGCTCAGGCTCCACCGGGGGGG